ATCAAACCAAATGATGATAATTTGAAATTAAGTAACAGAAAATATGCAATGAAATCAGTATTGAATAATTCAAGGATCAATATTGTTGAAGAAAATGTGAGTAGCACAAAAGACAACTCTCTCGACAATCTGCAGGTAAAAACATCTGCTAAAAACAGTATTATTTCAAAAATAAGTACAAATGTTGACCAATCTAAAGATAATGAGGTTTTAAGTGGTAACCTTTTTTCAAGTGTTGAAACATCTACATTTAAATTTAAAGTATCAAAAACTACACAAGTAATTAAATCAGATACAAAAAAAGGTAGCATTGGTGCAGAGCGGAAAACATTTTCTTTAGAAGCAAATACAGAAGATATACAAAATATTAATGATAACATTACTGTGAATACTGAAGATGCTTTGACATTAATTTTCAATCAATGCAATAGAAGACCCAATAAATTGGGGATTGAAAAAACTGCTCTATTAAATAGTAAGGAAAATATTGTCTGCACGTTTGTTAAACCACTTAAATTATTACCAAGGAGTTTTAGAAGAAGTCTAATTTCAAATCCAGAACCAGTTTTATTTTTTCTTAAGGGTTCGTTGGATACACCAAAGATAGTACATAAAGATGTAGGTATACAATGTACACTTATCAAGAACAATAAAGAAACAATTTTAAAACAAACAGCAAATGTTCAAACACAAACAGAAGAAATTCAACTTAATTTTAATAATGTATCATCTTGTAATAAAAATGACACAGAAAATAATTTACACAAGACAGGTTTAGTTAAGGAAATTAATGTATATAAAGATATTAGAAATGAATCTCAAGAACATAATAAAATAGAATATATAGGCTATGACTTAATGTCCAATACATACACAAAGAAATGTAATTCATCACTAAGGGAGAATGCAGAAGACACAGAAGATATTCTTGAAGTAACAAATGACATACATAAAAGATTTAATCAGAAAAGTAAAGAGAAATCATTATCACCAAGTTATGATTTACCAGACGAGACCCTAGTAGCTGAAACAAGCAAACCTGAAATATTATTAGAAAGTGATCAAATTGAAAATGTCATGGGAATTTTGAAAGAAAAATATTCATGCCATGATGATGAATTTGAAGAAACTACAATAAAAAATCAAGGAGACACTTCTAAATCATCTAAAAGAAAACGTGAAGAAAAAGAAATTGATGAGAGGGAAATCAATATTCCAGCAAGTGGAGGAAACACATCTTTTTCTTCTGATTCTGATATACAATCATGTTTACGGCCTGTTAAATCAGTACAACTACCTGACATGTCCGATGACGAAATGGTAATGGATGAAAATATGACGGTTAAGTTTATTTCTATGCAGGATTCAGAGAATGATGACACAAATATTATAAAAAAACGTAAAGTGCAACAATTGATTTCTAGTGGAAGTTCATCAATGAAAGAGAACAAACATAACAATCCACTTGAAGAAGATAGCGAGCCAATGGATTATGATGATATACTATCGACAGTGTTTGCCAATATTGATGCTGAATTAAATACTGGTTCTAAAAAAGTTCAAGACGAAGTTCTAGAAACAAGAAAAGAAAATCCGCATTCTAAAGTTAAGTCTAATACTCCTAACAAGGAATATAGTTCTAATAGAAGTCCTATGAAGCAGATTTTAAGTAAAAACATACAAAAGCCTGCTATTTTGTGTTCATCGACTCCTAAAATTAATAGTAAATCTAACAATAGTGCAGAAAGAAGGTCTTTAGAAATCTCCATAAATACTCTTGATAAAACCGCTGATCTTGATAAAATAGTAAGTGCTATAGAATGCGATTATATGCAGAAAGAATTGGACACTTTGAACCAAACCGATATTCTGAGCGAATTACAGAGAAATATGTGCAGAAGTGAAACAGAAAATGAGAGATCACAGATACCGCAATCACTTTTCAGGTATTTATATATTTGAAATGCATGTCCAGGAAAATCAATAAATGCTAAAATTGTATTTTTTTTTTAAATTAAATAAGTTTCTTTCACAGATCTTCATTAGTAAAACAAGGGCCTTATTCAAAATCAAGAAGGTCATTAATTTACCAAGACTTCAAACAAAACAAATCCCCTCAAATTATGTTCAAATCTCCAAAAGATACATTGAATGAAACCATTAGCACTATAGTGGACTATCCAAAAGAGAACACTGAACCATTTATATCATCATTGAGTAAAACTAATACTGAACCAGTTGAGATGGAAATTTCATCTTCTTTAGAACAACATCAAAATCGAGCTTTAATGCAGCATACATTTGATGTTAGGGAGAAAAATGTAGAAATAGTTGAAAATACTGAAATATCTGAGACAAGGTTAGAACCAGAAATAGACTTTGTGCCAAGTTCCATGGAGACCAAACCAATTTGCTTAGCTTGTAGTTGCTTATTGCAAGATGATATAATCTTAGTGAAAAATTTTGCTGATCAATTCAATCTAAAATTTGTTATGCAATATGAGGACTCAGTGACGCACCTTATTGTAAGAGTGAATAAAGAAAATTGTGCTGAAAGGTAATTATTTGATTACTTATTTTAGGTAAATCTGCGAATCTATATATACATATTTTTATTTTAAGGTCACTAAAATTCATAAATGCTATGGTATCTGGAATATGGGTTCTAAATAAGAACTGGATAAGCGATAGTTTAGCAAAAAAAGAACTTCTTCCAGAATACAAGTACGAAGTATTGGATATCTCATTAGAACCTGGACCAAAAAGAAATCGAATTTCATTACCAAAATCATTGTTCATAAATATTAAAGTTTTTGTGATTGGACCTTTTCATAGCACAAGTGCAGACGAGTTCAAATTGTTATTGAAAAATACTGGAGTTATGATTCAAAACAGTCATATTAGTGCACAAATTGTTGTAATGGATGATGGAGAGCATACTAAAGAAGAAATTGAAGGTATTCTACATCATATTTACATTAGATTTGTAATAATTAAATGTTTAAAATCATTAACTAATTTAATTATTACTTGATTTCTAGAAACCTATAAATATTGCACTAAACCCATAGTTGATATGGGATGGTTCCTGGATTGCATTTGTCGGGGTCGTTTAGTGAAAATAACAGAGCATTTGCTGTTACCCGATATATCAGAAATTGATCTGAAAAACTATCCTTCACAAATATTCCAAGACACAGAACGACTTTAATAGTAGTTGAAGCAGTGCCATTACTGATATTATGATGAACATGAGAGATATATATATATATATGTGAAATATAATGTTATGTGCCACAAATTTTTTAATACGGTTAATGTTTTTAATATATTTTTAACTTCCCGAAGGAGAAGTTTATGTTTTCATCAAAAAATCCGAATCGCTAATTTTATGTTTTCTCGACGTTTCGAGCCATTCTGAATCGAATGAGACCAAATTTGGAAAAAGTATGTGTGTGTGTGTGTGTGTGTGTGTGTGTGTGTGTGTGTATGTGTGTGTGTGTGTGTGTGTGAACAGATTTTTTGCCGTAAATCGACGTTTTCTCCAAAACGGTTGGACCGATTTCAAAAATTTAAAAGCCATTTGATGTATCTCGATGAGGACAATCGTCTCTGAGTTTTGTGCGGCGATCGGCCAAGCCGTTTCTTTGTAAATTGCAGAAAAGTGAAAAATTTTTCGTCCACGTTTTAGCCCGCAATTCTGAATCGATTCTGAAAATTCAAAAACCGTTCGATAGATATTGGTTGGGAATCGTGCTGATTAGTTTTTGGTTAAGATCGGCCGGGCCGTTTTCTTGTAATAAAGTTTTTAAAAAAAAAATTTTGACGATTTTTATGATTATTTTTTTGACGAAAGATACCATAGTTTTCTAGGTCATACTAAAATATTACGGCCCTACGACAACTGGTTCAGCTTTAAAAATTAGTCAAAGTTTGCAAAAATCAGTATGGTCTTTTTGGCATTTGTCAAAATTAGACTTTTGATCGACGTTTTCTCAAAAACGCCTGAACCGATTTTAGAAATTTAAAAGCCATTTGATGTATTTCGGTGAGGACTATCGTTTGTCAGTTTTGTGCAACGATCTGTCAAGCCGTTTCTTTGTAATTCGAAAAAACTTTTCGTCCACATTTAAGCTCATCCTACCGAACCGATTTTGAAAAATCAAAAACTGTTCGAAAGATATCATTTGGGAATGATACTGATTAATTTAGGTGAAAATCTACCGAGCCGTTTTCTTGTAATTAACTGTTGAAAAAAAGTGTTAAATTTTCGTCCACATTTAAGCTCATCCTACCGAACCGATTTTGAAAAATCAAAAACTGTTCGAAAGATATCATTTGGGAATGATACTGATTAATTTTAGGTGAAAATCTACCGAGCCGTTTTCTTGTAATTAACTGTTGAAAAAAAGTGTTAACTTTTCGTCCACATTTAAGCTCATCCTACCGAACCGATTTTGAAAAATCAAAAACTGTTCGAAAGATATCATTTGGGAATGATACTGATTAATTTTAGGTGAAAATCTACCGAGCCGTTTTCTTGTAATTAACTGTTGAAAAAAAGTGTTAAATTTTCGTCCACATTTAAGCTCATCCTACCGAACCGATTTTAAAAATCAAAAACTGTTCGAAAGATATTAGTTGGGAATGATGCTGATTAATTTTATGTGAAAATCTACCGAGCCGTTTTCTTGTAATTAACTGTTGAAAAAAAGTGTTAAATTTTCGTCCACATTTAAGCTCATCCTACCGAACCGATTTTAAAAAATCAAAAACTGTTCGAAAGATATTAGTTGGGAATGATGCTGATTAATTTTATGTGAAAATCTACCGAGCCGTTTTCTTGTAATTAACTGTTGAAAAAAAGTGTTAAATTTTCGTCCACATTTAAGCTCATCCTACCGAACCGATTTTGAAAAATCAAAAACTGTTCGAAAGATATCATTTGGGAATGATACTGATTAATTTTAGGTGAAAATCTACCGAGCCGTTTTCTTGTAATTAACTGTTGAAAAAAAAAATTTAATCCTTCTTTCATGGAACTTTTTTTGGCGATATACATCATGGTGTTATAGAACTTACTGTAATATTACGGCCTTACAACAAGTAGTTTAATTTTAAAAATTCGTCAAACTTTGCTAAAATTATTATCGTTTTTTTTAAAGTAGGATTGATGAAGTATATTATTTACACATTTTTTTGATCAAGTCGATTATTTACACATATCGGGAAGTTCATGTAATTTGCCTCAAGGCTAAATACCAAACCAACTAGTTATTTAAGAAAAATTGTTATGTATAATTTATAATTATATTTTTAAACAAACTGGTATTACTCATCTATATAAATAAAATATATAAAATTTGGAAGAACACTGCATTTTTGATTAGGTAAATGAATTAATGAAAAATTCAGAAAAGAAACTGAATCAAATATCAAAATTGCAAAAGATTATTCAACTATAAACTCATAATTTAATTGTTACACTAAATGAGTTATTAATGTTACTTTTAACTACCTTATTGTTCGAACAGTTAGCATTTTCTAGTTGCTTAAAAGTTCTTCTTAAGGATATCACAACTTCTAATTATAAATAATTATTATTATATATAATTAATTATATATTTATAATTCACTTAAGTGTCATGTGAAATCAAAAAATGTATTTGGTTGTGTAAAAACCTAATTATTATAGTAACAACAAAGAAAATACTGATTTAGAATCTATAGTTTATTTGAACCCGCAGACAAAAAACAAATAATAATAAATAAACAAATGATAAATGGAACAAATTGATTTGTAGTATCACCATAAAATAAAATATAACTAACGCACTTACTAATTTTCAGCTGGCCATCTAAGTAGATTCAATAATTCTAAAATAACTGAAAAACGTCAACTAACTTTAGTAACCACTGTCTTCACAATATATAGCACCTATAACCATTAATTTATTACATTTATGACACTATATCACATGAGAAAATCACTTAAAAGTGATGTTTGTTGCACAAGGCAAATACGAATAATAATAATAAACATTATTGTGTTTATTATTAAGTTTTCCGCCTGCAGTGAAAAGTAAAATCGGAAACGTCAGTTGACAGTGCCGCCAACAAAAAAGAAGTAACAAGTACAAATTAAAAATATTTGAATCACATCGAAGTAAAAACACTCGGAGGCAATCCTAATAAAAAGTGCATCAAGTTATAATTTGTTTATATTTATAATTGAAGTGAATATAATTCAATTGTTGCATATTCTAAAAGTTTATTTTTCGCTCCGGTTTGGAATGTTATATTTGAACTATTTCCCTAATGTTCAGTCTATTGTGTAAACGTACGTTTTGGGTCCACTAGCTTATTCGGAAACAGCGCTTCAAAATGTCGGAAACCAAATCAAGTATGTATAACCTGCAGAATATAATTTTTTTGTTTTAAACAGAGGTATTCTTTAATAATGCAGGGATTAAGTCCCTAATTCTTTAATAATCCAATAAGGGATTAAGTAAAAATAGTATATAAAGACAAATTCTCTCACCTTCTTTGAAAATCAAGCTCTGCTCAAGAATTTTTAAAATTTTTGAAAATTTTTCCATGCTATTTTCATACAAAACTTTGATTGAATTGCGCACTATCTAAAAGTTAATATTAAGAGCTAAAACTTTCAGAAAATTGTTTTTTATCAATTTGGAACCATTTGAGCCCTGGGGAGCAAGTAAATTCGAAAATGTCCATATTAATTAATAAGGACTACCCTAATATATATATATATATATATATATATATATATATATATATTCATGTTTATTCAATATGAAATTCGCTTTCTACAGTTGTATACAACTATTTATTTCATATGTATTGACAGATATGCATACATTGCTAACTATGATAGTTTAATTATTTTTAATAAATTGACTTTTTAGGATATCTTAATAATTTAACAGATATTATTCAGTATATTATAATACTTTTTAGATTTCAGATTTTGGCATTTGTACACAATTCAAATAAAATATTTATTTATATAAATATTACTCTCATTCTTTGATTAAATAAATTAATGGTAGCGTATCAAGAAAGCACTAAATCATAAAACTTACTTTAGAAATATGCATATAAATATTTTCAACAGTACGTATTAATAATTTAATTAAATCACATTTTTAGTGATTTTCATAAACTTATAGCTATTTGTCTATACAGTTATATAATTAAATTCACCTATTCTAATTTTCTAAGATATAATATCAATGCCGCCAACGGTTCATTCATATCAGCATTTTGAGTTTTATTATTTTTAATAATACTAGCTAATGCAAAAACTATATACATAACGAGATTGAAACTAAAAGTTCAAAGAAAGAAAATTTAGCAACATAGGTTTGAAGCGTTCTATTTGATCAGTCGAACAATTGACAAGTTACGCGCATAATATTGTAAAATAGTTTACTCGCAAGTAGAACCTTTGAATTTTAGAATCAAGTTGATTTTTTCTGAGAGCATGTTAACAAATCATTTGAAATAATTTATACTGTATGTTCTTCATTGACAATGTGTTTCATCATTTGTAGTATATATTATTGTAGATAGGTATGCATTGAAAATATTAGCGTTGTAAAAGAGGAATAAAACATGTGTGTAGTGTTGGGTAATGTGTATATTATAAATGTTTAATAGCATGTGTATATGTTGTTACATGTAAAATGTTGACATTTGTGTGTTATATATAGCAAAAATGGAGCCAATAAAGCTCTGAAAATAATTTAAATAAACATGTTAATTATAATAAACCACTATCAATAAACAATAACGTGTTTTGTAAAATATATCACAATATCATCAAAGGGCAGCTTAGATATAATTAATAAATAATTTGTTGAACAGTTTTGATAAAAAAATATAATTTGAACATTTATGATAAAATGAAAAAAATATTTTTAATTATCAATTCAACTTTCATAAAAACTGCATGATACACGTCAACATTATTTACAAATCCACTAATTAGATAAATATTTCTCTTACCGTATTTAATTATAACCTAGGCACAATAATATAATTGACGATTGCCTAGCCTAAAGTTATAATCATACAGCATTAGGATAATTTTACACAAGATAATTAAGACCAGTTTATTATAGACAGCACTACATTTAGGCTAATTTAAATTTATTTAAAATATTGCCCTAATTAAACTTGATTTCATGCGGATGCTTTATTACTTTTGTATTAAAAATAATTCATCAACGCTGTAATAGATAGTTCAATTTAGCAACGTGAATCAACAAGCATTGTTTTTAAATAGCATCCACACTTTTACCTCAAATCAAAGTTTTTAAAAAACATGTATACTGCTATTATTATATAGTACACTATTGCCTAAAGACCACTAATTATTTTTCATCCTACACAAAGATATGATTTTATTATAAACACCGTTTATCTACAATGCACAACAAGTAATTGTAGAATAAAAATAAACATTGGCAAACGTAAATAATCAGCACTTCTCAAAAATTAATAACATTCTTCGAAAAACTTAAAATAATTTTGCAAAATGTAGCACATTTAAAAATACTTTTGAATTTCATGCTGATCCATAAGATTGCAAGTGCTTTAGTATATAAAAAATGGTATATATCGAAATTTGGATATGGATTTTCAGACTATAAATAGTAATTTGTTTCTTGTAACTGCAAGCTTATGAATCCTAATAAAATATTATCTTATAATAAATTAATGTTTTCATAAACATCTTCTATAACTACTTACTAGAGATATGCAACATTACATTGAAATTCGACTTACATTCTAAATATGTCTTTTACTAAATTGGTTGAAGTCGTATAAAACACAAAATATAATCAATTACCATTCTTTAAAAGAATGTTGAGTTTTCAAAGTCAATTAATTTTGCAATAAAATATAGAAGTAATCAATAACATTTGAATCACATAACTTGTCAATTACATTTAACTTTGCAGTGTTGTACATTATTAATATATAGATGATATTTGTAAACTTTGGACCATTCAATTCAGTGGAATTGCAAAATCATATATATAAACAACTATTAAATTTGTCAAAAAAAAATTATTTTGTGCTAAAATACAACTCCACATTTTTTAATACTTACAATTATATTTTATACCAATATGAAAGGTATATAGGTAAAGTCATGCAATGTAAAAAGGAATATTTTTCAAAAGAATATATGGGAAAACTTTTTTCCAAGGTTTCATTTGACATTTTTTTATTAAAATAAATATTAAGTAAGCTATTCTTCATATGTCATGCCTACTGGTCCCAAAGATGGTGTCTACTTGAACGAATCTTCTTTTCACTTGGGACTTAATTGTAAAGAATAGGTTGTACGATTCATTTCATATCTTTAGACTGCATATCGTCTAACCAGCCCGAAGAGATATTGCGAGATGAAGAGAAGCATAATTTCATTGTGAAAGGGAATTTGGTACCTGGAAGGAAATAGTCACAAATTTATTTCAAGAAGCACAGTAAACATGATTTATTAAGAAATATTTAATAATATTTTCTTAATCGGCGTATCGTTTTTCCCAGTCAAAATTAAAGAATCTTATGTTGTGTATTATTTGGGGAAACCCATTCATTTTTTATTATGGTGATGGATAGTACTCCCCTAGATCAGGTCTGTAAACTGAGTTAAAATCCAACTCGAGTCAAGGAATCATGGTATGAGAGATTTCGCATTGTCATTGGGAAAAGTATGTGTGTGTATGTATGTGAACAGATTTTTTAAATTTGTAAATCGACGTTTTCTCCAAAACGTCAGGGCCGATTTCAAAAATTTAATAGCCATTCGATGCACCTCGATGAGGACTATTGTTTGTCAGTTTTGTGCGACGATCGGTCAAGCCGTTTCTTTATAAATAGCAGAAAAGTGAAAAAATTTTCGTCCACGTTTTAGCCCGCAATTCTGAATCGATTTTAAAAACTCAAAAACTGTTCGAAGAATATTAGTTGGGAAAAATACTGATTAGGTTTAGGTGAAAATCTACCGACCCGTTTTCTTGTAATTGAATGTTAAAAAAAAATAGGCCGATTTTTATGGAACTTTTATTGGAGATATATATCATGGTCTTATAGAACTTACTGAAATATTACGGCCCTACGACAAGTAGTTTTTTTTTTAAATTCATCAAAGTTTGAGAAAATAAGTAGTTTGTTAAAATGTTAAAATTAAAATTAGACGATTTACTTGGTATAACGACGTGTCGATTATTTACACATATCGGGGAGTTCACGGAACTTGCCTCAAGGCAAAATACCAATACCAACTATAAATTCAAGTGCGAATTGATATCACTAGTGCATGATATCAGGCTATCGAGAGCGGGGGGTTCGACCTCGTCCACACGAGGCAGTGCGTTTAACCGTTAGGCCATGGAACACCTTATTTATTATATATACATATTGCTATTTATAAATACCTTCACCGTCGACCGCGGCGTGATTGCAGGCCATGATGGCTTGTACTGCTTCGGCAATTGTGGCGAACTCTAACAATCCACTTGATGAGCGTTCGCTCTTGCTTGGGAACATTTTTATCGATACTGGTCGTGGCACGTCATAGGTTGTGAAAACTTCGAGAATTGTACTCTCTTTTACATTTGGCGGTGTGTTGAAGAAGTGCAAGATCTGAAACAAGTAGGAAATTAAGCCAATTCAGTCGAAAGCTATTAGAGTTAAATTTAAAATACTGATATTGTCATAAATTGTTGATCTTCGTACCTTGCTTGGAGGCTGAATGCGATTTTTGCTCGCTTGTGCAATGTTCAAGAATCTGTTGTTCTTATTATTGGAGTAATCTTTGAAGCTTGGAGTTTTGTCAAATACAGGGAAAGGATTTGTCACTTCAGATATAAACGCCTGTTTTGAAAATCTGTAAAAGAATAAAAAAAATAGTGTAATTAACTTTAGTTATTAGCTTATGTACCGAAAAGAATTTAATGAAATACTTACGCCACTTGGAGCTTATTTTCTTCGTTTACTTGAACGTTATTTAAGTGCATGATGCATCTTTCTACGGATACTGCGTCACCCATTTGTACCATGACAGTACCTTCCTTTGATTTCAAGAATTTGACCTGAACATAATATAAATTCATTTGATGAAAATTCTGATTCAAATATTTTGCAATATTTATAAGTTATACGTCTGTTCTATCGAAGCACCGGTAAGACTTTCATGGTTATTGATTTTTCAGTTGCAAATCAATATCCTATTGACTTAGCTATGTTCATTTAAAGTCAGTATTAACAATAAAATTGATCCACAAATAATACTTACGCGCATTACATTTCCGTATAGACACATTATGTTAAAAACACTATCTGTATTGTGTCTTTTGGCATCCACACCGTAAACCATCATGACACTGCCATTTGGACCACCACCGGCTCCTTGATATGGTGGTAAGCCAACCATGCCCCCAACTCCTGGGCGGACCATTCCTCCGTTTTGTGGTGGGTCCTGAAATTAAAGCAAAATTTGAGACCTGTTAGAATGATATAGTCTGCTATAATAGGGTTTTCTTTTTTCAACAAATGGACCAATAAGGTGCATTATCGATAATAAAGATAGCTATATTCTCACTCTAAGTTTATTTAACTTTTTTAAATTTATTAAACTTGCCTTCATTAGCGGACCCCCGCCAGCACCGCCTCCAGCCATAAGAGCACCATTTCCGCCGCCTCCTCCACGGTTAAATCCAGCATCGCCGTAACCACCTTCGGGATATGGTGGAAAACCGCCATCGTCAAAACGTTCGTATCCGAAATCTGTAAAAAATCATGAAACTATTGATAATGACATAATTACACATAATTCAAAGATTGAAACTAATCATGCTAATTAAAAAAAATCTCAATTCTTTATTGCTAGATGATGGATTCGTACGTGTTCATGTCCACATGAGGTACACGATTAGCAATATATATTTCAGTACTAATTCTGAATAAAAAAGATTTCTCGTCGATGATGACTGCTTGTATTTCTATACACCAGACACAGTCGCAATACGACCAATTACCGTAATTGGTGATGGTGCTTCATCAAACAAAACCTACTGGACGCAGCGCACAGGATTGTTAGACCGGCATATCAGATGCTGACGAGTTTGCTCTCTGAATGCATTATGTATATAGAAATGGGGCTGAAGGTTTAAGAAATTTATACAAAATATATTGAACAAAAGACCAGCCACTAGAACAACAAATCAGAAGTAGGTGTAAGTGCCATTTTGCATTGAAACAAACTGTAAAAAAAACATGATCCATAGGAATTGATTGAAGATTTAGCAACTTTTACAATTGTGACTATAATTTATTTTAACACGGCCCAATCTTCCAAACTTCAAAGAATTTTTATAATTAAACTACTTTTCGTGGCCTATAATATTTTAGAAAATTGGTTAGGACCATGATCTCTGCCATCATAAGGGTGACGACAATTTTATTCAACAATTATTTGCAAAGAAACGCCCCGGCTGATCTTTAAACAAACTAAACCCATTGATGGCTATTCGCTATGACTTCTAGATGGGTATTCTATAATAAATAGGTATTACTATCAGCTCTCCAATTAGTAAACTGATGCCAACATACGGGTGCCTATAGAACAAATACCGCTGCAGATGATATTTAACCGCGGTTTACGCACCATGCTATTTGTAAATGATTCTCTATACGCCGGTTTGAATAACATTCGGGATACAATGTTGCAAATACATATGAGAATGCAGCTGAGTGCACACTATGTGATCCGTTTAATTGATTATCCAATTATTTTTACTATGCATTTACTACTATTATACAACTATTTATACTAATTAGATCAGATGTTGATTGTGAAAGTCATTGAAATTCATTTCCTTTTCTAATCGACGGAACAACAAACTTTAGTAATTACTGTAGTTATCATAATTGAGACTAATGTGAACTGATTTGAGTATTTTGAATTGAACTTGTGGATCACGTGTTGTTTCGTGCATTTTTAGAAGACGCCGTATTGACATCCGTTTTAATTTGAAATAAAAGCCTTTCAAGCAGTACCCCAAAAAAGTTAAAAATATAATTCCAAAAGAACAACAATTGAGTTGCCTTCGATTGAAAAATATATTGAATCTATAATAGATTAACCATTGGGTTGTTTCGCAATAGACTGTAGTGAAAATAATCATCCTTCAACAAATTCTTTAAATCAGGGTGACATAAGTACTTTTATATATCCATAAATTTGTGAAATTTCTTAAAGGCGCATCAAAGATAATACTGTCAAATTAGTTGTCTCTACCTCATGGGCGAGTCACACAGGGCGACACACAAATTTGGAAGCAATTTTGTGATAAATTAAAGTATTCCACAAAACTATTTGTAAATAAGTACATCTACCATAAAACGTACAGAACTAAAAGTACATCTGTTTATCTACAAAATTTTCAGTGAAAAAAGAGCTCAACTTGTTTTTTCTTTCTAAGTAGATTTTAATAAACAACTTAAATTCTAGTAAAACTAAAAATGAGGTAATTTGCGTACACATAACTTCTGCATTAGTCATCATCATTAAGCAATGCATTAGTGCTTAAATATTTAAATTTTCTAGGAAACCTGATTCAAATTGGCTGATTTAAGAGTAACTGCACTTTTGTGCTATTTTATATCGGCGGCTTTAGATCAACAAACAAAATGTCATCCACATTATAGGCAAATGGCTGCGGTTTACGACAAATAGTTTTATTGTGGTTTACCAAAGCTAACTATTGTTTTAATGTGGTTTGTGTCTAGACAAAATAGACCTATTGTTACACATTAATAAAATATTTTTATAGCTACGTTCTTAAGATTATTTCCGCACTAGTGCACATAAGATAACTCCTATTCGAGATTTGCCAATCTTCCAATAACAAAAGTAAAATTAACAATAATGAACTATTTAGAACCAAAAGCTTCTAAAAAATGGTACTGAGTTGGGAGCTTCTTAATATTCGCCAGTATAAACAAGTTCCGTATAAAGCCAGTCACAAGTTGAATAGGGCTCAACCATAGGTAGAACAACTGGACTTAAACAGAGGTTCCGGATTCGATCCTCCTTATGGCAGCCTGTTGCCAAGCAGTAGTGACTATGGTTTCCACTTGGAAATGTAGATCTGGTATTGCTGTATCAATAAATATTCCCAAGCCATTTTCTTCATTCTTATTTAATCATTACTTCACTAATATTTTGTCTTCAAATGTCAACTCCAATTAGCAACAGTTTTATCCCCTTGAAGCAAATTCTTCGATGGACGCGTTGAAAGTGCACGCGTCAGAACAAAATAAGCATCGCAGACGCTTATTTTTAATTTTAATTATTCGAATATGTGCGCAGAAACGCCCAAGTGCTTAATGTATTACCGCCATGAATCAAAAGAGACATTGTCTGTTTTCTTTGACGATGAATAATCTATCTCGTTTTGACTTGTGTGCGTGTAATTAACGATTGAGCTATTAAAAATTGGCAACTGCGATTTTGCTAGACGACACTTCATGCTGTCGGAATTAGAAGTTGAGCTAAATATATAATATAAGCGCTTAAGAATGCCGAGCAAAAAAGTTGATATTATTTACGCCAAATGTAATCTCAAACACGATCGAAGAAATAGGCAATCGGGATTAAACATTATTTCAGCAAAAGAAAATGAGAGATTTTTAATTATATAGACATATTGGCACTTTACTAAGAATTCAAAAACGAATTCAATCCGGGGTAAAACTTTAAAATGGCTGTATGGTTTGGGCCAGTCTTAGTCTTGAAAAATTTGTGCTAATCAATAGGTTGTGGGAAGGGTGAGATATTATTTCAAAACCGCGTATAAACTTTACATTTTTAATTTGAAATTTTTTGTAGAAGCGTATTTTAAATGAAACAATGGACTCATACGTCAAATGTCAAATGGTTTTGCTAGATGATTTTCAATTACATTTAATAAGAGGCATAATGTAATAAAAAAAATTCATGCAATCTTCACATCACATGTAACTCTAAGGTAATCTTGGCTTCGTGTGTAGGCCTTTCATATAACAAATTTATCACATCTCGATAATTATTAAACAAGTCTACATTATATAAAAGTGTATGTTGCAACGATAGGAGAATATGTATAGAAATAAGCTCTAAATAGAATAGATTATAAACCAATTAAAATTGATCTCGTTCAGAAAATCTCATCGTTGTTTTTGAATTGAATCGATTAACGAGTTTTTGTAAAGAAAATAAAACAAGATGTGCTTATGCTTTAAGTGGCTGTTAGCAGCATGAAATTATCTATGAAAATAGTAATAGGATTAACACTTTTTTGTTATTTCCTTGGTCTTTGCAATTTAGGATTTAGCTACTCACAATACTCGTAATTTTTGTTCTTCTTAACTTTATATAAATTCCGTAATATTGTCATTTTGCTCGACCGGGATTCGATCTGAGTATCTGTAGTTAATAGAACGATATTCATAATAATATACACTGAAGTTTTAATAGTAGTCAAAAGATTACCAACCCAATGAAAACTTAATATCCATGAAAATAGTAATGGGATTACAAATACATTGCCAATTTTTTAGGTGATTCTGCTATTTGTATTCAGTACTTGATCGGGATTCGATCCGAGAACCCTTGTAGTTAGAAGCATGATATTGATAATAATATAACTGAAGTAGTTATAGTAGTTATAAGATGATCATATCATAAAACTTAATGAAAACTTAAGATCCAGAAAATAGTAATGGAATTACAACAAAAACATTTTTTTCACAGATAGTCATATTACTATCTGTATACAGTACTCGATCGGGATTCTATCCGAGAACCCTCGTAGTTCGAAGCATAATATTGATAATAATATACACTGAATTTGTTGCATAAAACTTAATGAGAATTTAATATTCATGAAAATAGTAATTGAATTGAAAACATTTTAAAAAAATCTTAGTATTAGTTCAGTCATTCAGTAGTTTTATTTTAGAAGTTTTCTGGGAGTTATGAAAATTGGTGATTTTATAGATTTTGATGTGATTTTTAAGAATTTCAACTTTGTGACCTCGAATTTTTGCCGTTGCCGCCGATATAGTGACAAAATTGCATCAAAAATAAGTTTTTTAATGATATCTCCTTTTCGACTCATGTTACAACAAAATAACTATATACTGTAACTAGACAAAATTTTCTATAATTTATTCAATAACTGTAATTTTCAATCAGAAATTTTGAATCTAACTTCTCAATCAGAATGGAAAAAATCCGCAGTTTAGCATATATAGTAGAATAGGAACAATTATACATAATTTAATTTCATTGAATATGACATATTATAAACTTTGGTTTAGAATGCAATTTTTGCATTAATTTGCAACAGTATAAAATTACAATTGAATTAAATATTGTTTAGACTTTAGAAAAGGCTAACATCTGATTCATATTTCGATATGTTTTTGAGGTGAAATTATCAACAGTAATATTTGTTATGAACATACTGATTAAAATTAAAAAAAGTATTAGGATTGGACAACCCTTAATAATTATAGATTGTATTTTGTTGAGAAAAATGTAAACTTTTTCTTCAAGCTCAAAAATCTGAACTAAAATTATGTAAAAAATATTCAATGACTGAACGTCGAATAAAAAATGATTGAGTTGCTAAAACGGTTATAAAAAAATAGGAGTTGGTGATAAAAAGTAAGAAGTTTGGGTGGTATGTATTTTATAGCACCACATTATGAAAAAATAAT